CACTTCCAATGAAAAGCCCCTGGTTAAAACCAATTGTACACAATTTTAGATGGAAAATGTTTAAATTTTTGGGGAATAGAAGATAAAATAATTACATTAATATACCCCACTTCTGTTAACAGTTGTAAAAGGATACATAAAACTGGCCTCATCCGCTGATCACTAAACAATAAGTTACATTCAACTACCTTTATATTGTATTCAATATCTAATTAATGATTTGTTTTCAAATTATTTTTAAGCTTTGTTCTGTCATTCCTTCCCATATATCAGACATCTTGAGACATACATTGTCATAGATAGTAAAACTTAAGATTTGGCCTCCTTAATATCGATTGTCCGTAGTCTTCAGCATTTCCTCTACTTCCAATCAAACTCTCCTATCGCTAATTAAATACCTACATCGCTTCTTAAATTACCTTGCTATCATTAATTTCAGGACTACAAAACGTTGATTTTCGTAGTTTGCCTTGATTGTTTATTGTATGTCTACACTTCTATAGTTTTTTATTTATATTTATATATGATAAAGTAAACTCTATTTTCTGAAAACCTGTGCTGGTGATTAACATGACTGGTCTGATAAGACGGATGCACTATTATGCTGCTTCAAATGTTACCGTGTTCACTAAGATGAGTGCCTTGTTTATACAGACAGATATCAGAGTGCGGTTTTTCCTGATATGTATAACATCTCTTAGACGAGAATCTGAAACTGGACAGCGGCTGTCATAGTGAGATACGCTATGATGAATTATAGTAAAAAAAGATAACTACGTGAAGGGCAAAACGGAAGTAGCACAGGAATTCGTTTTTTTTTTTTCATAAAATGGTGCACCAACCTACGTTTTTGTTGTATCATTTATAAAGGTATCTTTCCGCAATGGTAGAGATGGGATCGAGGAATCAATACCCAAGTTGATGTCTTAATCTCCTTTGAACAGATATGAACTTCATTCTAGAATTTTACACGATAAGTAGAAAAAACGAGCAATATGTAGGTCAAGTAAGAAAAGTTTATTACATTAGTGTAAAACTACAGTAGGCAAACTGACGGACGCTGTTGAAAAGTTTGGTGAAAGATTTTCTCACTAAAGTCATCGCCTGGACATTACAGTCGCTATAAACAACAATTAGTATATACTGGGGGTCATAAACCACTTCACTATCAGTCCACCCATCAGTACTTTACTACAGTTTATTGTTCTTTACATACTAAGGTAAACACAAATTGCCCGACCGTAAAAATATATAGGGACCCTCCATTCGGATTCCATTTACCTTTTACTATAAAGACAGATGTTATCGGATCGATTCTGTCATTACGAGACCTTAATGGGGGTTGGGAATAGTTGATGGGTTAAATATGTTACCCCCTGAGTTTGACCCTGGCGACGTTTTCTATTCCACTTTGTATTAGGACACCAAAGTGGACACTCTGGAACATGTTAATCTTGTTGATCTAATTTTTGTTTATGTAATCATAATTCACCTTAAGAACTATCTCCTGTGACGCTATCTTGTGATATTTTACATACATGATTTGTTGGAGGAGGTCCACCATCTTTATCTAAGTTTTCTGAACCCCGCCTAACATGTGTGTTGAAAAAAGAAGTATCTTTGTTCAGAATGCCATTACCACACACAAAATATCAAAAATAATGTACATTCGCATACATTTCCAGGCATGAATTGGCAACAGAACCATATATCAGTAAAACTGTTTGTATTGCTGTGAGAATATTTACCTTAAACTATTCTGACATTCAACTTTAAAATGCTAGCAGCATGGTGTGGATGCCATATATCTGTCTATAGTTTTCTCGAGTTAACCTCAAAGGTTTGACGTTTCATGTTTTCTGTGGCCAGATGTTTTTTTCACACGTTTTAAAAAACAGTTCACGTGACGTTAAAAAGCCTGTCAAGTCAAATTACTCACACCATGGTTTAGTTCGCATTCAGTTTCCACAGCCACATAGCCCAATTAGGTTTAAATTCAATAGACCAAAGGGGTTCAGTTGTGTTTCGTTTAATTTTATTCAATTCCTGAAAATGGACTTCACACTTGTATTTCCGTTGTATTCGACAGTGACAGAAGTGACATGTCATACATAAACGACAGTGATGCATGACGGGTAAAAAATCCACAAATACCATTTGCTGGAACGACAGCGGATTTTAGCGAGGATGTGATACAAATGAGAATGGATCTTGTAAACACCAGTTATAGGCGTCAATCTCTTACTTTATGTCGCTTTCGACACGTTTTGAGACAGACTAGAGTTTTACTCCCGGTCGGACCGACATGGCGTCGAGGAAATTCAGAACATAACATCTCTCTCAATTAACAACACTGTCGCGTGATGGTCAACTGATTTATTTATGGCATATCTGTATCTCAATTTTCGTTGCATTGATAGGACAGGCAATTAATACAGACCTAAACACGCTAGCCACTGTCCACAAACAACTATATTTCACCATCAGTGCTTATGTTTTAGACAATTGTAGTAGAGCTGTTGAAATATATCAAATGTCATTGTGAATGGCTGTGTTCCACAGTTAATGTTTACAGACGTCGGAAATAGATAAAATACATCTAACCTTGCTAGTGTATAATGGCTGCTCCACCAATCGGTCAAATGTTTAAGAATATACAATGAAAGCATCATCAATAATGGCCTAACATTTTTTTTCTTTGTGACAGAGATAACACAATAGGGAGTGTTGTAATGCAATTCATACATTTACATTCAAGTCTGTTTAGATTAATTAAGTATTGTGAAAGTTACATTGGTTCACTGACATGTACTCGGTGTACTTTGTGGGACTACAGAATTCACTTTTGATACTCTTATTCGTCATAATGCATGCCACACACAGTAGATGAACACGGCAGTATTTTCTGCTATTGTCATATCAAAAAGGTATTCAAATATGTGAAATCTACAAAGTTAAAACATTAAACACAAGTCAAGGGAAGACCCAGATATGGAATGAGACATATATTGATATGTATGTACATTGGTTTCTGACATTCTTCATAGGAGATATTATCACAAAGAAAAATCCCTTTTAGCACATTTGCACTCCCGTGACCGCAAGAAACAACATTTAAATTCCACGTTTTCCGCTAAATGTTGTATAAAGGATGCTCCTAATTTTACAATGACTTTCCCTGATGGCCCCATACACTGTTTTAAGCGCCATAAACACCTGTTACGCCTGTATAATTACTACATCAAAGATACAGACGTGCGGGTAAGACCGGCAACAGATTACGACGACATTTCTCCTCGTCAAAATGACCTGATACAAGGATACAGGAATGCAGCCAGCCCCCTGGCTACTGTAAATCAGCTCACCGTCACCTTGCTTGTTTTCACATTAATGTTTTAAAGTAATCATTTGAATCCATAGCAAAAATGTACTACTTAATCTTCTAATATAAATTTGTTAAAACTTTGGGGAAAGGATCAATTTGTGAGAGTTTATTTCACTTACAATTCCTTGTAAATTATTTAAACCATCAACGCCAGCGCTTAAATGACAAATATTATAGTAAAATACTTAAGTACAGATTGCACATGTTTCGTGTTAAAAGAATATCTTATCATCTAATTCATAAGAGTATAGTAAATGGTATCAATTCCATTACCTTTTCTAAATTTGTCATTCATTTAAAAAACAATAGAAGGAGAAAATATCAAAAATGTAAATGGTTTCCGGCAAAGGAGGCATTTATTACGACGATGAACGACATTCGAACATTAAGACTTCAGTACAAAACATTTTCCACTCCTCTCTTTTCCTAATATCAAATTACTAATATTCTCTTTCGACAACAGTCCATAGTTTTGTGTGCAATACACATGATAGAACACGTGGAAGGGATACATATCACGAGCGACACCGAAAAATACTAATGTATCTGTTCTCGAGGTTTAAGTTCCTCTTTCTAATGTACCGGATATCTGTCAGTCGATGATCTAAAACATTTTATGTCTCGAAGGGAAAACTTTAAGCCTGTGACATTCTATTTTTTTTTTTATTTCGTACAGAATACATTCAATGAGAACAAATGCAGGCACCAAACACAATTCTCACAAATGTATAATCAACTCTGTTGAAGTATTTTTTACCCGGAACAATATTTATCATCGTAAACCAATAAAGCTGCTGTCACCACTGCCTTTATGTATTTTGGGCGGATGACATGCAGTCCCTGGGCTCCACATCCTGCGGTGACTCCCTTTGATGTTCTCCTCTCCCCTTTGCGCTGGAATGCACGTAGATCGATTGGTTCAGCGGTTGGAATATCTCTTCTTTGCTGGTCTTCTTCCGATATCGATCAATATATCCGTATTTTTTTTCTTTCTTTATTGCTAGTGTTCTCTGTGGGTTGTTCGCACGGTGTCCGCCATCATAGATCTCAATCAGTTTCACGCTTGAAAAGGTCAAATTAAGTCAGGGTGACTTCCGCGCTTTCTTAGTGCGTGATGTATTGGGTGTTATTAGAAGCACCTCCTGTACAAGACGATGTGGTGGGAAAATGAGGTCCATAAGGGGTAGATTTAGGCAGAGGTGCCTGAGGACGTGTGTAACTAATTAGAGTCAATAAAACGTTTTAAACAAATTCCCTAATCAGACATGTGGCCGTGCAGGACTGACATCATTTACTGCCCAATAATCTTGTAGCAATTTCCCATATTTAATTATAATTTAGAACTATTTTCCTTTTTTTATCCCCCATAATTAAAGTTACATTTGTCAACTTTGCACATCTTTTCCACAAAGAAACATTTGCTTCTTTGTTTCTATTGCCGGAAATCGAACCAGAATTCTACTTTTGTTTTGTCTTAAATAATCGAATAAAACAAATGCATCTTTTCAGCTTTGTTCTTTTCCTTGTAATAAGAATAATGTATATACTTGACTTAACACGGCGACATTCGTTATTGACAATGATGTACATAGACACTTCTATTTTATCATTATAGGTGAGTAGTTCCAGACGACTTTCAATAGGACCAGAAGCGCAAAGGTTATGCAGGACGTATCGGAAGGTGTGCTCCGCCGGCAGATTCTGTGCAATGCAGTACTTCCATACACCTAGAAATATTTCATTGCCAATTTGTGTACCAGAACATATCATTCCTGGTAAGTAGTCCAAGCGGGTTTTTTTCACTAATGGCTTGTGGAACACGAATTCTGAAAGCAATGACTTGCATTGTTAGTCAACGCAGTCATTTCTTAGACAATTGTCTTACCAACACCCTTCCCAACATTACCAATGCGCTATGTCCAGTTTTAGATGATTGTTTTTTTTAAAATTAATTCTGGTTCTTTGTGGTACATTGTATTGTCCAAGTTTACGACAAAACCATTCACACACATCCCTGCTTCCGCATTCTAAACGATATTGATTCATAATGATATAGGTTTTTTTTTTAATTTTTTTTAATTTTTTTTTTTTTGTTGCATCGAAGTAGTTACAGTACATCGGGGTAACTACATGTACACGTACATGTTGTTTGGAGTAGTGAACCAAATACATGTACAATATGTACAGTTACTCCGAAGTAAATTGAAATCAGGAACAGAAAATGAATAACATTCGTTACATAACAGTCCATAACCAAAGAAATCATTTTAAAGAACAAATTACATGTATCTTACACACATCGTCAGCACAGAGTTCAACTGAACAACCATCTGTAGAGAGCGGCATCAAAAACAATCCTATCATGTAAAATTACAACTGCCTTGCACGCCTCTTCACATTGAAACCATGTTTATATCAAATTTAGGGATGAAAGCAAACATCGTACAATAACAACTAGTATAAAAATAATTAAAGGCAGTATATTCTTGCTAAAGCCTAATCTCCATGTGTAAATGTCGATGAAAACAAACATTGGGACCTGTTATCTAGAGACTATGTGAATGAACATTAAAGAAAAGTAAAGCAATGTTTATCAACATTTAATATACATGTATAATATTTTTGTCACAACAACTGATTCTAATATATGCATTTCTTTTTTCCAACAGCTGAAGGTAAGATTTGTGATCTTCAGCCGGACCAGGGTAAGTGTGGTGCCCGCTATATCAGATGGTTTTATCACAAAGGACAGAACAAATGTAACTGGTTTTATTTTGGTGGATGTGACGGAAATCAAAACAATTTCAAAAGCAAACAAGCTTGTGAAGATACCTGCCGTATTGCAATAGACAATAATGCGCATCCTAGCCGGAACAATGCTATTGCACTTCCTGTTAAAAAAAGTCCAGTGGTAATATCAGAACCTATTTTTCTACCAGACAGATCAAATCAGATCACAAGATCGTTTTCGCTAAGATCTAAAAAGGTAGGAAAACATGATAAGGAGCGACGCAGAAAGCGTAGATTACGTGATAGGAAGAAGAGAAGGTTACAGAAGCTCCGGAGACGAAGACGAAAGCTAAATGTAACTCCGCGTAAACGTAGACGCGACGGGAAAATTTCTGGACGGAAACGTAAAAATAGAAAGAAGAGGAGGCAGGGAAGAAAGCATAAAAAGAAAAATAAGAATAAAAAGAGCAAATTACATAAGGACAGGAAAGACAGAACGGATGAAGAGACAGAAGAAGATAACGGACGTAATAATCATAATCAAATGACAAATGAAAAACGTACTAATGATAAACAAACAGTTGAGGTAGACACTCAAAGTCACTCATCGTTAAAAACATTAACAGTCCTCGATTCAGGTGACGAGGAAACGACAGATGATATGGATAGCTAACGAGTGTCAGAATAAAAGACACTCTGACAGAACAGGTTGGCGTTTGCTTTACAAATTACAAGTACCATATCAAATTGGTAACGATGTTTAATCATTGATCTGAATTTAATTATTTCAAACGCAAAAGTTTGTCAAGGTGAAAACCAAAAATCAAAAATTATCTTGAACTTGATCTGGTACGTATTGTGCAAGCTAACCTTTGTTATTCAAGGGATACATGAAAGTGTTAAACTTTTCATGCACAGCGGTTGTATCGGATAAGACATCATTCATCTTTGTTAGTGCTGACTTGGAACCGGAAGTGGTCGTCTGTCGGTAAGGAATCGTATCATTATAATTCCTTGTCGGCATGGTCGAACATTTTGTCTGTAATGAAAATTCGTGGACGCCTACTGGCTAGTGTATTATGAGTTCCAGTAAGAAATGTGTTAAGGTATAGTTAATTGAATAAAAGACAATCCCCGTGCTGTATGGAACGTGACTTTTCCTTTAATACAGTCAAAATAATTTCGTAAGCAAAATATTTCGAACAATTATTCATGGTCATACAGACCTTTGACCAGTATTGTCACTTGAAAGCGTCTATCGAACAATGCTGGTAACTTGATTACCCGTTCGCTGTCGTTCAAAATTAGCCTTGAGTTATTACAGTGCCCTGTTGTTGAGCGAGAGGAACCATTTTTTTCACATGACAGTAGAGAGGAAGGAAAAGGGCAAATAACTCTGATTTTGACTTCTACGAGTGTTGTGCGGCTGTTGCCCTTTCGTATTACTAATATGTACATTATTATTTTTATGCCGTATTTGATGTATAAGTAATAAATTAATTCATTAATAACTTTATTTTATGGAATATGTTAATAATTCTGTACATATTCAATCTTTTATTTTATATTTTGAGAACAAACCCGTATAGTTAGTATACTGTCATTTCAATATGTCTATCGATCAAATGTATAGATTCTTTCATTCATCCGTCAGGCTATGTATTTGGGTAAAATTGTGAGATGGTAAGATATCTTGCTATGTTCTGTATATATCTTCCCACATTAGGGTGTATATATCATAACTATATATATATATATATAAGACTTATGTAACTGTTAGCGTGGGCGAATACATACGATTCCCAGAACTGTAGTATTCAATTCTCTATGACTGAAAACAATTCCCGCGTTTTTATACCAACAATCACAACATCAACAGATAAAAGTATTATTTCTCAGAAAATACCAAATTGACAAGACAAAAGCAAGACATGCTATTAGCTATAATAGTTTATATATTGCTACAGATTTGAAATTGCTAATATTTGAAGCTGGTGTGGCTACATGTGTCAGTTTAAATGTCGATTCTGACTTTGTTATTACTACTGTATGATATCCAAACATGATATGTGTTCGTGTATATTTGTACAGCTCATCTCCATAAAGAAAGTTGTGATTCTATGCACGTGTTTGTGTCATTGTTTCAATCTTCCTCTTTACATCATGGTTTGTTCCTACGGCAGTCCTCCGACGATTACACTTCTTCCATGGCAACGAATTGTTTAGACAGTGATCATTAAGAAACCATCAGCAAAAGAATTTTTAAAGTAAAGTGTAACACATGTATAACCATTCCGATGAAATCGTCAGATAACATGTAGAAGGCAGACCAATGGCAAATAAACCCACTGTAGACAGAAGACCGTCACACCAACGTGCCGTAGACAGAAGAACGTCACACTAACGTGCCGTAGACAGACCAACGTCATACAAATGTGCCGTAGACAGACCAACGTCACACAAACCCACCATAGAGAGTACAACGTCAAACAAGCCCACCATAGACAGAACAATGTCACACAATATACCGTAGACAGACGAACACCACCAAAACCCAACGTAGATAGACAACGCCACACGAACGCATCGCAGACGGAACGTCACACTAATCCACCATAGACAGAAGAACATCACACGAACGCATCGCTGATAGAAAAAAAGTCACACAAACCCACCATAGACAGAACAACGTCACACAAATCCACCGTAGACAGAACAACGTCACATGAACGTATATTAGACAGAGCGACGTCATCCAAACCCAATGTACACAGAACAAAGACATACAAACCCACCGTAGACAGAATAAAGTCATACAAACCCACCATAGACAGAACAACGTCACACAAACCCACCGTAGACAGAACAACGTCACATGAACGTATAGTAGACAGAGCGACGTCATCCAAACCCAATGTACACAGAACAAAGACATACAAACCCACCGTAGACAGAATAAAGTCATACAAACCCACCATAGACAGAACAAAGACACACAAACCCACCGTAGACAGAACAAAGACATACAAACCCACCGTAGACAGAACAAAGACACATAAACCCACCGTAGACAGAACAAAGACACACAAACCCACCGTAGACAGAACAAAGACACACAAACCCACCGTAGACAGAACAAAGACACACAAACCCACCGTAGACAGAACAAAGACACACAAACCCACCGTAGACTGAACAAAGACACACAAACCCACCGTAGACAGAACAAAGACACACAAACCTACCGTAGACAGAACAACGTCACAACATTAATTTTTCTAACATTGTTCAAATTATTTCTACATTTATGCTAGCATGTACTTAAGCACAAAAACCTCCTTCCAATTTGACTGGTGGTTATCGTTAATCAGGATGAAATTTCAACTTCCTTAAAATAAATTTTAACTGTTGAAAACGAGACACACGTCATTATGAACCGATAAAACTGTCAAGCACTGCAGGGAATGCTGCATAGAGCTTCTCTTGCTGGGCAGTAGAAGCCCTGTCGTATTCGTTCATGTCAATTTCTGATGATCTTTTTTGTATTCAGTGGGACTGAAATTGAATTGCATGACCCGCGTGGTGTGTTAATGTCGATCTATTTGGGACGCTTGTCATTCATAATGGATATATCTAAGTGCATCATATGATGCATTTCATTTTAATTTGCATGACGGTGCAAATACTACATATATGTATCTCATCTTTATCCACCAATTGGGACGTGTACTGTTGGTATTGTTCCGTCAGCGATAGACAACCCACATCTCGATGTCCTCACAAACGTTACAGTCCGCCACCATACATGCTTCATATTCGAGAACAAGAACTGACAGCTATGACTTGAAAGTTTGTAGGAACTCGGCTCACTTTTCAGGAGGTACATAGCAGTAAATGCTATAGTAATTGCACTCAAGAGATAGGAAGAGAGATAGAGGAGAAAGGGGGCGGGGGTTGGGGGTGTGAGGGGTGGTGGTGTGGGGTGTGGGTGGGGTGGGGGGGTAATTAAAAGAATTCGGTTTTACTATGCCCGTTTTGGCTAAAAAAAACTCTAAGGAACCCTATTGTATCATTCTACTGATCTCTCTGTAACACATTCATTTTGTCGGCGAAAAAACAGGCGCCATATGAAGACTTGATCAAATGTACTAGTGTTGTATGTTGATCTACGATAGGATACGCCTTCAATAGGAATAGTTTGCAGAACTGTTGGACCGGAAAAATTAAAATCACCAAAACAAAAAAGATATTCACTTGCTTTAAATGAGCATGCGGCATCACTGTATCCGTCATGACACTTGAAATGGTTTCCTGTTGGTAACTATTATTACAAACATAATAAAAGCATTACATTAAAAATATATAGTCTCTGGGATACTCCATCACCCTGCTTAGCCTACTCCTGTCAACATTCCTAACAACAGTGACCATGGTGAAAACACTTGTTCTCTGTTAAGTCGAAAGCAGATTTAAACTGCACAGAATAATTGAGGGGATGTTCTGAAAAAAAACATGCAACTCAATACGTTATCACTCTCCTATAAATCTGCCAGAGGCAGCGAATGCAGTTGACATTGCAAATCACGAATTTTCGTCCGCTGAAGGCTTAAATAAAACAACATAACGGAAAACAAATGAGGTTTGAAATATCCGGAACAAATCAATATCTAGTAGTAAAAGTGTAAGTGTTGTCAATCCGAAAGACAACTTTTCTAAGTATAAGCTGAAGGATTTACAAATTTTTCCAATGCACCGGGGGATGGGGTAGACTGAGATCGATATACTGTAACTATGTGATCATATAATCTGATTTATTGGTGCAATATAGGTAAAAAGTTTGGACAAATCGACCAAAAGTCTCAACCATGATAATCCCAGAGTTACCAGGTAAAAATATATAGATAGAACAACTTTTTATATGCATACTACACAATTTCAGCTTGGTACTGCGTCATGTGATATTGTGCACATTTTTCGGATCATTTTTGCCGATAAAAAAATCCATATCTGGACAGTGCAAACACCAGCACGTGTGGGCATCTGTCAGCAATATCGTAATTTACAAAAAAAATCAACATTAATAATATCTTGATGAAAGGTGTAGATAAGGATCAATCTATGCAACATTAAAGTAAAACAGGCTCCACCAGGATAGAGGAGGAGGGGAAGGAGGAGGAGAAGGAGGAGGGATGCGAGCAAGGAGGTGACCGATTTATTGCATTAGTTTTGCGTTATGGTAAATACACTATCTCATAGCAAGTGTATTATCTTTAGGTTGTCAAAGAAAATTCACACGAGCTTCAAACGTCACGTCAGCCTGCATTTCTGTTAATGACGTCCGTTTTATTTTGTGATGAAAGTTGTTTTGGGGAAAAGCATGATTTGTTGTCATCGTGAATTTCTTTTCATCCAACATGTCAGATGATGAAACTGTTAATCTACATTACGGCAGGAAAAACTATTAGACAAACAATTACATAAAAAAATTATTGTTCTCTGAACAGGGAGATATATCCTGATGATCAACACCTGAAATCACGCTATATGGTGCTGTGCACTACATATTACAGTACAATTTATAATACGTACAAGGAGGTTTATGACAATAAAATAGTAAAACACTAAGTATACACGAATAGGGTGTATCTTCTAAGATATATATCATTTTGTATATCTATGTATCTTGTTTATAAAATGTATATCATTTTGTATATCTATGTACTGGTTTATAAGATATATATCGTTTTGTATATCTATGTACTGGTTTATAAGATATATATCGTTTTGTATATCTATGTATCTGGTTTATAAGATATATATCGTTTTGTATATCTATGTACTGGTTTATAAGATATATATAATTTTGTAGTCTATGTATCTGGTTTATATCTGGTTTATAAAATATATATATTATTATGTATATCTATGTATCTGGTTTATAAAATATATATATATATCATTTTGTATATCTATGTACTGGTTTATAAGATATATATCATTTTGTATATCTATGTATCTGGTTTATAAAATATATATTATTATGTATATCTATGTACTGGTTTATAAAACATATATCATTATGTATATCTATGTACTGGTTTATAAAACATATATCATTTTGTATATCTATGTATCTGGTTTATAAAATATATATCATTTTGTATATCTATGTACTGGTTTATAAAACATATATATATTATGTATATCTATGTATCTGGTTTATAAGAAATATATCATTTTGTATATCTATGTACTGGTTTATAAGATATATATCCTTTTGTATATCTATGTATCTAGTTTATAAGATATATATAATTTTGTATATCTATGTACTGGTTTATAAGATATATATCATTTTGTATATTTATGTACTGGTTTATAAGATATATATCGTTTTGTATATCTATGTACTGGTTTATAAGATATATATAATTTTGTATATCTATGTATCTGGTTTATAAGATATATATCATTTTGTATATCTATGTACTGGTTTATAAGATATATATCATATATAAGATATATATTGTATATCTATGTATCTGGTTTATAAAACATATATTATTATGTATATCTATGTACTGGTTTATAAAACATATATCATTTTGTATATCTATGTATCTGGTTTATAAGATATATATATATATTATTTTGTATATCTATGTATCTGGTTTATAAGATATATATAATTTTGTATATCTATGTATCTGGTTTATAAGATAATCATTATTGTATATCTATGTATCTATGTATCTGGTTTATAAAACATATATTATTTTGTATATCTATGTATCTGGTTTATAATATATATATATATTTTGTATATCTATGTATCTGGTTTATAAGATATATATCATTTTGTATATCTATGTATCTGGTTTATAAGATATAAATCCTTTTGTATATCTATGTATCTGGTTTACAGGACTTTGAGAGATCAGTACAAATCGTGTTTAGATTTGATTCCATTACACGTGTATTTTAAGACATAAACGGTGAAACTTACTGTATGTATCAATGAGAGGGAAAAACAGAATTTTGTGTTTCAGAATATGAAACTTGGTCTACCAATTTACACGTTGTCTTTAGTGTCAGTA